AAAATTGCAGCGTCCCATCCACTGTGTCTGACTCTGGCTGCTCAGAATGGAATATATTCTTATTTTGTTAAATACATACCAATCACATTGTTTACCAGGTACCCAGACTCCTGCGGGTCACAACATTTTGCTTGTCTTAGACATGCTCAAAGCCTAGTTGACATACATATGCAAAGATACTGAAGTTCCATAAAATGAGGAGCACATAAATGGAAGGCCTGAAGGGGGCAAAGAAAGCTCACTCTAGAATGTGACACTGTGCAGCGTTCTGGGGCTGTGGCCTAACAGCAGGGGATGGGGAACGCCTTAGCAAAGTTTGGAGTCAAAAAAGATTGCGGCATGTGCTAACAACTAGATGTTAGCTTCCTCACATTTTGCTACTGTGGTCATTCCAAGCAGAGTGAAGAGAGCATCTTTCCCGTCTGGGTCAGCTTTCTCCCTGTCAGGGTCAGCTCTACTGTGCTGCCCAGATAAGGTGCAGGGCCAGCTCTCCCACCTGCTGCTGCTGACAAGAGGCAAGGAGGGATGCCAAATGAAAATGTGATACTGAGTGCCTAGCGCAGAGGGCTTATACACCCACAATGAAAAATGTAGAAAAGACCCTAGTTGCTAAGATTGAGAACTTTTCTGTTATTAACCACCCATTCTACCTGCTTAGAGACCCAAAAATCTGGAAGAGTCACCGTAGCTTTTATAGTGACTGTAATAAAATGGTTAGGTAGTATATATTATTATATTAGATATAATACATAGTCTCTTAATAAAAGCAGCTAGACGGTGCTAAGTAGGGAATTTGTGTTATGGGAAATCTGGCCATTTTATTTTTACATTTTAAAACATTTTATTGATTCTTTGTGAATTTTACATCATACCTCCTCATCCCATTCATCTCCCTGCCCCTTCATATCTGCCCTCTGCTCTTGCAACCTCAACCCCCAAAAAAGTAAAATAAAATTTAAAAGAAAAAAATCTTGTTGTGGAAGCTGCAGTGTGGCCCAGTTACACAGCATACCTTTAGTCCATACATTTTTACTTGTGTTTATTCCAATTAGTCATTGGTTTGGCTTGATGTCTCTGGCTTCTGCCACACTATTGATACTGGGCCCTCACTGGGACTCCTCTCGAATATCCTGTTGTTGCCTTGTGTGTTAGAGATCCTGCACCTTTGGATCTGCAGAACCAGCTCCTTTACATACTCCAGCAGTTCATAGATGGGGTGGATGTTGGGATGGGCCAACTCATAGCCCTGGTTCTGGACCTGGGTGGTAACTGGGTTTGTCAGCTTGCCTGATCTCTCATCCTCACCACCAGGGCTAGCTCTCCAGCACTGCCCATGCTACCTTACCTAATGGAGCAGGCACCAAGGGGTGGGAGTCTGTTCTGCTCTCAACACCTTTAGGACATGCTCACCAACACCACTTCCAACAGGCCAGCTTTACTATGTTGCACAGATGAGGTTCAGAGCCCATTCTTCCTAGTGATGCAGCTGGTCCAGGGCAAGGCCAGGTCTCCCACTCTCATGACCCCAGGGCCAGCTCTCCCACCTGCTGCTGCTGACAAGAGGCAAGGGAAGGAGGGATGCCATATGACAGACAAGTAGTTTGTCCAGCTCTCCCATACCCTTGCTAACAGGGTTCAGCTCTACTGTGCTGCTCAGGCAAGGTGCAAGACTTGGCTCTCCAGAGTGCTGCAGCTGGGAAGGGGCAGGAAAATCTGGTCATTTTAAATGAGTAGAATTCCTGGCCATTTGAGGAAATTCTTATGCCCTGGAGGAAACACACAGTGTGACAGTTAGGGAAGAAGGGTATACAGTCATCCGTCTGAGACTTTTCTCAGATTTACCTGTTCTATAAACTGTAAAGATTTGCTTGTTTATTTCATCCTAGTCTCATCCTCTTCATCCACAAAATCAAAGCAGTGTCACCTACTTCCAGGTTAATGAAAGTAAAATCAAATTGAGTCAGTTCTCACTGACGTGTATTAGCCACTTTAGAACTATTTTATTACAAATTAAACTTTTTTTAGTTCTATAAAATTTTATGTATTTCGAATGGATTGTAGTGGCAGATGCCTATAATCCCAGAACCTGGGAGGCAGAGACAGAATAAAACCAACGACAACTTGAGTTTTCCCAAGTTTATCAACAGAAATCCAGAAAGTGGGACTATCTTTAAAATGCATATATAAGCACTGTGACAGCATACACCAGGCCTTCACCAGTTCAAACCAGATAAAAAAATCTCAGCACTGAGAAGGGGAAGGTAGTAGCAGGAGGTCCCAGCCAAACAGCTGTTGGCAGGGGATACCTGCTTGTGGGGGAGCCAGTTTTCTCCCGTGGATGTCAGTCACACTCCAGGGACTCTGCACACGCATGCAAAAGAGTGAGACAGACAGACAGACAGATAGAAGCTTGTTTTTAGTTTTGATTTTCATGCATTGTTTTAAGAGAGAGAGAGAAAGGGGAAAAACATGAAGTTGGGTGGGCAGTAAGGTAAGGATCTTGGAGGAGTTGGGGAGGACGTAATAATATGATCAAAATACATGAATTTTTAAATAAATATAAATCATAATTTATAAGTAACCTTTGAACTTTATTCAAATCTAGGCTTGTTTTAGAAATCTATTTGGAGCTTTATGCTTCATGCTAGTCCTGACTAAAGTAATCCAAAGGGAACCTTACAGAGTCTCTAAGTCCAGACGCGACCCTTCCTCTCTCCGGCCTTGCTGGGATCTGTTTCTTGCCTTGCTGCAGTCATTGGCTAAGCACACTCTCCTTGATTGTGGCTCTCCCTTGCCTTTCACTTACATAACCAGTTCCTTGCAATTCCCTTTGCCCGTATGGTTAGAGATTCGGCTTGGTTCCTGATGTAACAATTTATTCTACATCTGTAGGAAGTAGGGGATTAGTAACATGTTTAGAGTGACTTGGATGTGTCAGCACTGTGCACGGGCATATATGTGCTTACGCATGTGGAGGTCAAAGGTTAAAGTTAGGCACTTTCTTCAATTGCTTTCCACCTTATTGTTTGAGACAGCAAATCTCACTTAACCTGGAGCTTTGATTCAGCTAGACTGACTGACCAGCATGCCTCTGGGATCCTCCTGTCTCTACCTCTCCAGTGCTAGGATAATAAACACACATGTCACCCCTGGCCTTTCTTCATACTGTATTTTAAAAAGTGTTTTGTTTGGTTTAGTTTGGTTTTTCAAGACAGGGTTTCTCTGTGTAACATTCCCAGCTGTCCTGGAACTCACTTTGTAGACCAGGATGGTCTTGAACTCACAGAGATCCGCCTGGCTAAAAATATGTATTTAATTGAAATAAAATTATATCACTTTCCCCTTCTCTTTCATTCCTCCAATCCCTTCCAACTATCTTCCTTTGAATCCCTTCCTTGTGTCCTCCTACCCTCAAGTTGGGAGCCATTTTTCTTTGAGTATTATTGTTACATGTGTGTGTGTGCATATGCGTGTGTATGCACAATGTACATACAACCTGCTGAGTCTGTTTTTGCAGTTAGTATGTATATAGTTTCAAATCTGATCACTGCACTGGACAACCAATAAAGGGGTTAATCCCTGGGAAAGGCTAGTTTTCCTTCTCCCGGGGGTCCTTAGTTGTCTGTAATTTTTGGCATTGTTTAAGCCTAATTTCTGCAGCCATTTCTGGTGAAATTTTTTCACTTAGTTTCTCTGTATACCCCTCTTTTTTGTGGGTTTACCTAAATTCTTAATATCTTATATAAAAGGAATCATGTATCACTTTTCTTCTGTCTCTTAGTACAATGTTTTTGAGTGTATCGTATTTGTAGCATATATATATATATATACATACATATATATATGCATTTTATTCCTTTTTGTGGTTGGATAATATGCCACCATTGTATACTCTAAGTTAATCCACTCATCCATTGATAGACATTTGGTTTCTACCTTTCAGCCATCAACAGTGCTGCTATGATCATAATGAACATACACAAAAGCACCATTTCTAGGTAAAAGGAACCACATTTCCTTCATGGCGAGTGATAACAGAGAATGATTATTTCGAACTTTGGGCAAACAGGTAAGCTAGGTATTTTTAGGTATATAAATAGACATATTTCTCTCATTAGTACAAATAACAGATGGAGGCATCACTGTGTGTTTCTGTATAATGCGTAATTTAAAAATAAGATCTAAAACAAATTGAATGCCTGAGTAAGATAAATGGTTCAGGTAAAAATTACTTATTTATGAAATGAAACCTCTTAAAAAGAGAGGAAGACTGACAGCGGTGTAGTGCGAAACGTGCTACCTTCCCCCGTTTACCCATATAGTTTTCGGTGCCTAACATAGTAATTTAGCTACATTCCCATTAATGTCGGTGGGAGTTTCAAACTGAATCCCCGCGCACTCTTTGGAAATGTCTAGGTCAAAGTAAACTGTTAATGAAAAGCTGTTCTTCACTTTCAGGGAAGTAGTTTAGAAAGCGCCTCCCCGCGCCTCACAGAAGCGCCGACGAAGGTCACTGATTAGAGGTCACCAGCTCTGAAGCAGCAGCAAAGGAAAATGTATTAGAGAGGAAACGGAGTTTCCCCAAAGGAAAGAACACAAGGGTTCATGTCTCAGGTTGGTTTGCAGTAGCAAAGGACACTGGACCCTTTCAGGGGACCCTTGAAGCCAGGTGCTTCAAGATGTGATCAGAGATAGAGGCAGGCTAAGGTGAGTTTTAATTAGGACTAAATTGTGGTATTACTCTTTCATAGCCTGAACATCTGTTCCCTTCAGAAATGATGATTTATGCAGGCGATCAGAGCAGACAGCTTGCTGTAGCTTATGTCACGGCTAGTGGGAAGCTGGAGAAGCTGGAGGTAGCGTTTCAGAACACCAGCATCTAAATGGGGACTGGCCAGAGGAAACAGGGAGAAGGGAAGCATGATGTGTCCATCTTTAAGTCTGATGCCAAATACTGACTTGAATTTAAAAAAAAAAAACAAAAACCAAGTCTCTTTTAGACCATCTGCTGTTAACTAAGAGAGTGACTTAGACAATGCATGGATTGATGCTTCCCACTGGTGTCAAAAGACAGAAAACCAAGCCCGTACTTTTCAGAAGGATGAAGACACTTTCTCAGAAGACCTCAGTGAGAATTCTAGTCTTTAACATTGGCATGGGGCAGGATGGGCATGAGCTTACAGTGGGAAAGGAAACAATCAGAAAGGTGACTGATCTAAAACCAATTATGAATCAAATGTCAAAGTTTATGGCTTTTGAAGCATATTGACTTTAAATAACAATGTCTAACATTAAACTGAAATACTAAGAGAATTTTCCATACTAACTGAAGTATTCACCTGTTTAGAAGTGTGCTCATAGCATTGACAACATGAATTATCTTAAAAAGCAATGAGATTTACTTGCTCAACATAGGTGGCTGTTTTCCTAATAAAAAGTTACATTTATACTAGGAGGAAGTTTCTTGGTTCAATATTCTGTAAGATATTCATATTGAAGCTAATTTAGCGTATCTTTAAATATCAAAATGCCTCTTTTTATTTAGCATAAAACCTAAAAGCACCATGTATTCCTTGAAAGTATAAATAAAATCTGAAAAAAGTGAAATTATGTTTAAAATAGTTACATAAATTTAAGAAATCAATTTAGATAGATCTAGAAAAATTATGTAATAATCAAGCAAACTTAAAAACGATAGAGTTTAAAATAGGATTTGTCACATGAACACATGTCTTTTAGAAGTTTTTTTTTGTTCTTCCTGGGCCATTTTTTAAAGGAGGTTTTATTTTTAATTATTTGTGTGTGTGTGTGTGTGTGTGTGTGCATGTGTGTGTGCTTATGTGTGTGTGTGCGTGTGTGCATGTGAGTGTGTGCGCGTGCACGCGTGTGTGTGTGTGTGTGTGTGTGTGTGTGTGCATGTGTTCAGGTACCTGTGGAGGCTAGGTGTTGACTACCTGGAGCTAACATTACAGGCGGCTGTGAACAGCCTGATGTGGGAATTGGGGACCAAACCCAGTTCTCCATCCCAGCATTCTTTTCTCTTAATCACTGAGCCATCTCTCCAGCCCCCTCTACATCTTCTTTGATATCACGAAGCTAATGAGAATTCAAAGATATATTTTAAAGGTAGATATTTTTATCAATCTTACTCATCTTAGTAAGAATAGTGTCTATAATTCTTTAGTAATATATTAGAGACAGGGACACAAGCATCACGTTTAGGTTTGCATTCTGGCTTTACTCTCAATTGATTATGAGACCTCAGATTAGTGCATTTCATTGGCCTCAATTCCATCACCAGAAAAGGGGATAACAGTGTTGCTCCCCTCACAGAGTGCTGCAAATCATCACTTCCATGTAGTACCATGTCTGGCATCCAGAAATGTCCCAATTATGTTTCTTATTTTTCATCTTTGGGACACATAAAAATACATCTAAGAGAAATTATTTTTCTTTTTAGTAGAAAAATTAATTATGAACTCATATTAAGTGTCCATTTTTAGTATACATAATTTCATTTTATGGGACTGTTTTAGTTTGAATATTGCTCAAAGTAAATAAATGGTTGACTAGGTATTAGGAAGTTCATTGTGATAATGATTTCATTATATATTTTTATGGTTAGTTGATAACCACAGTCACTAAAGAGCATTGTGTCTGCTAGTTTTACGTCAACTTGACAAAACCTAGAGTCACTGGGGAGCAGGGAGGCTCCATTGAGAAAAAAATGTGGCTGTTGGCAAGCCTGTAGGGAAATTTCTTAAATAGTCATTGGTGGGGAGTGCCCAGACCATGAGAGTACAGCCATCACAGGACTGGTAGTCTTGGGTTCTATAAAAAAAAAAAACCAGCTGAGCAAGCCACAATGAACTAGCCAGTAAGCAGCATTCCTCCATGGCCTCTGCATCAGCTCCTGCCATGTTTGATTTCCTGTCCTAGTTTCCTTTGGTGATGAACAGTGATGTGGAAAGTAATCCAAAAAAAGTAATGACCAAAAAGTAATTCCTTTCCCCCACATTGCTTGGTAATGGTGCTCATCACGGCAATCATAACACTAACCAGGATAAGCATCTACCAAGGATGTTGGGAGTCTGGGCTTTATTTCTCTTTACCTGCAGGTTTGGATTATGAGTTAAAGAAGGCATCTTAGCCAATAGATCAAATCCTAAAGCATACTGTAACCTCGTCCCCAGAGATCCTGGAAAAATAAAGAAGGATATTTATCTCTTAGATTATTAAATAGTGGTCACTCTTGGAGATCTATGTTAGAGATCATTTTGAGTTCAATTCAGTCTGTAATTCTATGCTATGGTCATAAAAATGGGTTAATAATCATTCACAGGGAACATGTTCTTAGCTGAAAGTTTATATGTAAATAAAACTGTCACTTCTGGTTTTTTTTTATGAACTGAACAAGTTATTTAAAACAGATGATAAACAAATCGATTCTTTTGTCTTATAATTTGTGTAACTTAAAAGAAATTTCATAATTCATAAAATTCATGATAGAACATTACTCATTAATATGTTTGCAATATATTTGCCTAAATATAACTTGACGAGTGAGGCTAAAAACAGAACTATGGGTAATAAAATGCTGAACTATGAGTAGCAAAATGCTGGCCTGGGGAATAAGAACATGTTGAAGGGAAAAGCTAAAACTAGCTTGCAATTTTTCAGTAAAATTTTCATTTTGAAAGGGCTTTTGATAATCGTAGGGTCACGCCCTACTCATAAATTCAATAAGTACCGAGACCAGATGATAAAATAAGGTTCTTAACTCCGGAAAGCCCTCTGTGAGCTCAGATTCAGCAAATGGGGAATGGTGGGAATAACAGGTGGGAAATCAGCAGAAAGTCTATTCATTTTTAATGAAGTTAAGTAATTAAGAAATTTGAAGTGAAGGTCAAGATAAATATATTCTTCAGTAAACTCTGGAGTGCCAGAATTATTACATATAGGTTTGAATAAAAAGTTTACTGTTTTTAGAACTCTAAGGAATGGCTTTAGTGAGCACATAATACCCATTATTATAGGGTATTTCTTAAATGTGTGTATTCATGGGATGGTAAAGGTATTTAAAATCTGTGGTCATCAGATGTCAAGTTAATGGGAAATAAAAAGCTTCAGATTTTTGGCTTTTGAAGGTTAGCATCCTGGTGCAAAAGTTTTATTTTTTCTCAATTGTCTCTTGGATTAATTGTCAAAGACAAGTTATTAAATTATGTGGATATTACACATACTAGCATCTCCTTTACGGAAAATGCCTTTCCTCGGCAATTAATAATTATTTCTCATTTTCACTTGCTGTCATGTAAGCTTGACTGATGTCATGAAATTATACTTTGGAAGAAACAATGAGAAGTTGATGAAATGAGTGAAGCAATGCGGGGCACCCCTGCTCCCCCCTCCACTCTGCTGCCTCTGTGGCTTCTGTCTGGGGACTCTCATCTCCTCCAGCCTGTGGTGGTCCTTTCCTGTCCCCATGCACATGCCTCTTTCCCAGTTCTCAAGCTTCCCTCTGCATCCATCCCTCCCCTGTGCATACCTTTGCAAGAGGTAACTTTTTTTTTTCAAATCTTGAGAAGTAACTTTTCCCCGAAACTTGCTGTTTTCAGAGTGGGTGTTTTTCAGCATAAACAGCGACAACTTTATCTCTTGAGCAGCATCTCGGGAAACTATGACTCTGCTTTCATTGGTTTATTCCTTTGACAAGATCCTTTTTCTTGACTCTTATTGTTATGATTTTGTAGTTTGTACTGCCTAAATGTAAATCATATGAAATAAACAGAGTTTCCTGCCTGGGAGAGTTAGTTTTATAATTTTTAACAATTAATTTTATGCTAAGTTATGTATGACATTTTCATGTATGACGTGTATGACAGTTCCATACATGTACACAGTATATGCTGACCACTCTCTCCCCTTACCCAGTCTCACTTTCCTAGTACCTCTGTCTATCCATCCCCATCCCGTATCTACAGCTCCCTCACGTTTGTCTTGTGACCCGGTGAGTTTATGTAGTGTCTTCTGAGTGAGTACGCAACCAGAAATAATGATTTCTGACACCTGGGAACCCATCAGTAGTCCACAGGTCAGCAGTGAGGCGTATTTCCTCACTGCTATAAGATTTCCATAGGGACATCCCTTTCTCTTGCTGATTATTGACGGTGCCAGTCTCATGTGGTCCCAGTGCAGCTACTGAGTTTGTAACTGTACTGAGTATGTGCGCCCCAGAACACAGCATTTCATAGCCTTACCCTATTTCCAGGTTCTCACAGATTTCCCAGTCTCTTCTAAGCTGTGTTCCCGAAGTCTTAGAGAGAAGGGGGTCAATGTTTACTTAGGGCCGAACACTAAGCCACCATTTACCCTCAGCATCTTGGGCAGCTATGGCTTCTGCTTTCATGGTGTTTATGTAAAGAGAGGCTTCTCTGATTAAGGCTGAGGGTAGCTTTTGTAAATGGGTGTCGACATACACATTGGGAAGACAGCTTAGTGCTATGTTAATTTAGTCTCTCTACTTGACCTATGACCTCACGAGACATGGGTTGTTAGCTGGTCTTGTAGTATTAGACATGAATTCCCTCCCGTGGTGTGGACCTCAAATCCAATTGGAAGGCAGTTGGTTATCCCTCTAACAATCATGCCATTTTTGCCCACATCGGCACATCTATTCACATCCAGATAAGACCAATGCTACTTTTTCACTTCCAACGACTTGCCTAACCTTCTGGGACTTCAAAAGTTAGACAGTAGAAAGGAGGTTTCCTTTTCTTTTCCAGAAGCTTCCTCTGCATCTCGCAACTGGGATGTGAGGCACCAGCAGTGTGGTCTCACTCTCTCCTTCTAGTGCGCAGCCTAGAGAACTGAGAAGAGCCTATCTTGTTTAGTTGACTCTGAGGCTTTCCTGAGAAACTGTAGAGTAATCCACACCGGGCACTGGGAGCGTCATTCAGTTGCCCTCTGCTTCTACGGGCAGCATTGCCTGTCTTGCAGGATGACTTCCTTCGGTCTTTTCTGTTTGCTATTTTGGTTCGAAGATAGTAGATTTTCATATGACTTTTTCATACTCTCTTTAGTTTTGTTAAACCCCCCAACCTAAATCCATAGTTTCCCGATCCTTCTTTCTCCCTTATAGATTTAATCACTCCCACCACTCTATAGCCCTCTTTATTTTCCTCTTCCTATATTTTACTGCTCCCATTTCCTTAAGATATCTTCCCGTGTGTGTGTGTGTGTGTGTGTGTGTGTGTGTGTGTGTGCGCGCGCGTGAGCACAAGCGCACATGTGTGTAAATACCATGGTATGCCTGATGGTATGCCTGTGGAGTTCAAATATCAACTTTGGTTGTCGGTCTTCACCATCCACCATGTTTGACCCAATTGCCTTGTTTGCTGTTGTGCTCTCCTGACTAGCTGTCTGAGTTTCTAAGGATTCCCGTTGAAGTACTGGAATTACAGTGCACACTGCCATCTCCGCTTCATGGAGGTGCTGGGAATTCTAACCCAGGTCCATCTTCTCTTGCAGTAATCATTAATGTTTCAGATTAGCTTATGATTTTCATTTAATGAGTTAATCCTCCATCAGTAATTAAAAGTGAAGAACTCAAACACGGGTTAAATTTTTAGTGGACACAAATATGTATTTGTAAGGAATAGGGTTCCTCAAACATTTGACAGGATCTTGAGGGATGGGCTTTCTGAACTGGAATTTTTCTTCAGGATGAGGTTCTTAGTTATCATTGTCTGTAGGCCTCTGTCTCTGCGATTAGACACTGCCCATGTCAGCAGGCCGGCCAGTAACCAAGTGGAGGAGATTATGTGTGGTGTAAGTGCTTGCATTTAACCCCTTGTTTCAGAAACAACCCTCATTCTCAGCTCTCCCTGCTGCTTCTGTTTCCAGGGTTGTCTGAATTACTCTGGTCTTTTCTGATGCAAAAGGTTAGCTTCTGGAAGGCTGGGTGTAAAGGAAGGGAATGGAACTGAGGATAGAGTTGTTTTCGTGGAATCCATTTGATTTAACCCAAGTTTTGCAAATACAAGTCCAGTTCAGTTTTATGACTCATTTCAATTTTTCTGCTGAACTATTTCCTACTAAGTTATCTTCATTTTATTTTTTAAGGAAAAGAGGCTAAGTGTTGATCTTTTATTTGTTATTTACAATAGATTTTTAAACAAAAAGTCATTTCAATAATGTCTTTTTTTTCACTTGATAGATTTTGGAGAGTCTCTTGGTATTTGCATATACTAATGTGAAGAAAACATAACATTAGATTAATTGAATGAGAAGAGAATACTTGGTTCTGCCTCACTTCCTACAAACAGTGCTCTAATTTATGACACACAGAATATCTGTAGTAGAATTGTCTGGGTTTTGTGTGTAGAATTCATTCCACTCTAAGCCTGTTCAGTTGAAAATATCTTTGGCATGAAGCTGGGAAGTCTAAATATTCAAATATCTTTAAATGAGTCCCAGTACCATTAAAACTTAAGAAGTTCTCCTTCTGTTGATTTTCAATAATTTTACTCTTAAGGCATAAAACAGTTAATACTTATGGGTACCATGAGATTGTTATTTTGATATAAAGTATAATAATCAAATCTGTGTAACATTGTTTCCTCAAACCATTCTTAGTTTTTTGTGTGAAAATATGGAATTTTCATAGTGTTGTTCCTTGGTTTTCTATGCTTTTTTACTGTGGGAGAGGAAGAAATAATAAAAACCATAGGAAGGAAGACATCAAGTTGCTAAATTAGGACAAACTCATAGTTCAGAAATCAGAAATTGAAAGCACCTGTAAGTTTGCAGAAAAGTCATCTGTATGTAGGAAATATGCTTAAGAAAATAGAAACGTGGTCTTGTATCCATATGCAAACATTTCATTAATTACTCTTCCATATTATCACTGAATACTCATGTAAGTATTCAGACAATTACTTATATATGTCATGATATAAGTCATAGGATTTATGAGATGTATTTAAACCACAGGGAAGTCCTGAGTTCTGTTGTTTTCAGCATTCATTAATTTGGAAATAATTCAATAAGCTTAAACAAATAAAACCTAAAGGAAAAATTAAAATTTAAGAAAGGCCAATTCAATTAAAACTATAATACTATGATTGCATAATGTTCCTACATATGAACCAGTGGCTGTACAAGCAGATAGTTTCCCAATAGTGTAGGTAAAATAATTTATAGAACATTTAGAGATTCTAAAAGAAGCACTTGGAGTAACAAAGTTTGATTAAGGATGCTGAACACGGGTTCTGACAGGGGAGGTCATGCATAATTAGTGCGCTGGGAGTTGTCTCAGAGCTTTTTGTAAGATTTGAGGGAAATGTTGTTGATACTAGTTATTATTATTTTAAAATATGTTTTTTCACCTTATAGGCTAAAATCTGATTAAAATACATAATGGCATATCTTTTAATATAAAATTTGATAACAGTTTATTCACAAGAATCTGTAAGTAGCCAGTTGTTTTTTCTTATTTAATGTGAAATTTGAGAATTGTGTAATTAGAAGTTTTAGAATATTTTAAGAAATTAAGTAATTTTCTTGCAGAGTTCAGACTATATATGAAATAAAAACAATAAGAATGTTTATTCTAAATATTTATTTAGTTTATTAGTTGTAGTTAAGGACAATCATTAATATTAATTATTGGCAGCACAAACAAAGAATATAGTAAATCTGAACAGATAAAATTTATTTTTGTGCTATTTTTGCAACTTCATTTTATGTGCATTTTGTATGTTTAATATATTTTCATGTCTAAGAATGTTAGCATAAATATGCTGATTAGATGAAAGGGTTAATTCAATTTGCTTCCATAGGTACCAGTCACTGAAGTTTCTTGGTGGTTTTTACCTGATTTCTAGATAATAAAGTCTCAGATTTGTATGAAATCACCTCATCAAACAGACTTAACTCTTTAACTGCCATGCCCAGTAGGAACAGTTAGAACCAGGGTTACTCAGTGGTGTCAGAGCAAGTGAACCACAGCTGCCTCACAGCTTCCCTTTGCTGCTGGAAACCAGAGCGCCTG